GACTACTCTTCTAGATATGCGAAAACTGTGGCTAGTGCAGAATGCCATGGCCCACCTGCTAACTGATGTTTTGCTCCAAGAGTTCATAACACCTGAGCCACAATATATACCTTGGCTACTGATCAATTCCTTGGTGTTGCATACAGTGTGTTTTTTTATTTATAAAGCCCTGTTTTAGGTCCTGGCCCTGACAGATGCTTCTTTTGCCATACATTATCTCAGCAGTATCATACCAAGCTGACAGTATCCTCTTGGTCCAAACGGTACCCTCATTAAAAACTGGGGAATTTAAATTCCTCTTGGTTTGCCAATCACGTATCTGATGACCTTCAAAAAATATACTTGCACGATCCACCTATTCTCCAAGATCTGTTTTGGGGGAGAGGAGGTACTAGAAAGTTGTATTGGGTGGTATTTGGAAGTTAGAAACATACTGCAGATCATTTGCTGTGTTCTCCTTCTCTGATTAATGGATGTAGGTCAGGTGGGTATCTTGTTCTTATGGTTTACTGCAACTGTTTGATATCAATGTTGTAATGTGCCAAGACTTTGGGGAAAAAAAAAGTTCTCTGATTTACATCTAGATGTCACATTTTCACTACCATTTAACATTTCATAGGGCAAAACCACACAAGGAAGAGGTAAAAAGAGACAGAAAAAACTGAGTAACCTTGGGGAGAGTAACTGTCATACATAATCGCATAATCTATGTGCGCACACCCCTAACTTTTTTGAGTGCTGTTAACTCAGACTAGATCTATGCTAATAGTTAGGGGTGTGATAGCAAGAGTATATTTAGCAGTGAAGTTGCAAGAGCACAGGTAGTGGCAGTGCAGGCAAGGCTAAGTTATGCCAAGTAAATACTCACCAGATTCAGCAGTTGCATAGCTCTTTATTCTTGCACTAGCTCAAAGTGTATGTGAACAGGGAAGTCACATCCTTAGCTCACAGTGTAGACAAAGTCTCAGGGTGCATATTCCAGGCATAGAACATCTTACCCAAACTACCAGAACTCAACACTTTGCTCTCAAGACCTATCTCTATTTAGCTTTGACAGAAGATTTCTACCATCTCCCCTTAAACTCAATTTACCCATTTGTAACGACGTGTCGGGGTTCCTCTGACTCCTGCACCCTCGTAGTGGCACGAACAGACTCTGCCAGCCAGTAGGATTGAGGGAGTTTATTGCTTCTCCAAGGATGCAGTACAGCACAGATATAATCTAGTTACAGGGCCAGGACTAGGATGCTTCAGCCCCCCTTGAGATGGGGGAGACTGGGCCCCTAAATCCCAGGCCCCCTTGCTTAGGCTGCTTCCTCCATGATTCCAGACAGAAACTACTCTCTCTTCCAGCCCTGCCCCCCAGCCAGGGGTTGGATCCTGCCTTCCTCCCTTTGCCTCTATCCCTGGGAGGCAACCGTTCAGACAGGTTGGGAGACCCTTGCCTAGTGACTCATCCACTGTCCTGCTGGGTCGTGCTACAAACAGCTGCCAGTGGAGGTCATCCACAGCCCACTGCCCAAGCCCAGCAATCAGCAAGGCCCCCACACTACACCACACCATTGTGCAAAGGAATATCCAGACCTCATCTCCTTCATGATCAAAAAACAGATAATACGAAAGCCCTCCTGTCCTCACCTGCCTCCCTGCCCTCGTGCACTATATCATTATCAACCACCATCTTCCCTGGATGTCTTTTTTTCTCACACAGAATGGCTGATACAATCCATGTGGTAGGGGGATAACATATATTAAAAATACCTGTAGAGAAAATCAATTTTTTCCTGTATGATTTCTTTGGAGAAGGTGTAGTTGCGGGTAACAAATGAGGGGGATCATAAAATAACCTTTTCTCTACCATACACAAGCAAAAGTCTGTCAGTTATAAGTCTAACAATGGAATGCACATGCTGGGAATGTGTGAATAGATTTAAATAAAATGGAAACCTTGGATAAAGAAAAACCCTGGGATAAGACACAACAGGTAAGTGGGAGCATTATTCTTTATATGAGAAAATAGGACAAATTATTTTTTATTAAAGGTAAACTACAGTGCATATAAAGGATGTTATGCTCTTTGCCTTTATATGGTGTACAGAGACTGACTCAAATTTTTCCCCTTAAAGTATTTTTCTGAATTAAAAAAAAAAAACAGAATTATTAGGTCATGCACTCTGTGGATTCTGCAGGACAAATACACTGCATGCCTAAGTAGCTCCTTCAGTTCTTCTATTTCCCCTATAAATTCCATGTGTGTTGTTCTCATCTCCCCTATTTTAGAGACTCTATTCAAGCCTGTCCCCACACTTCCTTCATCGTATAAGTAGCTGTGTGTCCCCATCCCCTTTTCCCATTCCCCCATGCCAGCAGCCCTGTGTGAACACCATTTCCCCCTTCCTTATCATCCAAGAAGTTCCGCACCCCCCCTACCCCCCCATGCCTCCTTTCCTCCCAATGGCAGGACTCATTTGTGCTCTCTCATTCCTCCCTCCACCATGACAGGGACTGTGTCACCCATGCTAGAATCAGTGGAGCTGTACTGGTTCTAGAACACTGGGTTAAGTAAATTTCCTAAAGTTCTTCAAGTAGCTGTAGCCATATAGATTAACAGCTACAACTCAAGTTTCAGCCCTAGGTAATGTCACCAGCTATGTCTTCTGGAGATCTTGCAAGGGGTTTCTTAAAAGCTGGCTCCCTACATATATCGGCTCCCGCCTGCTCCCCACCCTCACCAGTACCTTTGACAGCGAGGCAGCAGCACGGTGAGGGGGATAGGGAGCAGCTCTGCAGGAGCTGATACATGCAGGCAGCCAGCTTGTAAGCCATCTTCCTGCATGTACCGGCTCCTGCCTGCCCCACTCACCTTCCACACAGCTCCCACCTCCTCTTCCATTGCTGGCTCTGTATCAGAGGCAGCTAGGTGGATTGCATGTAGTTGATAGGATTAATTGATATGCCTAAACTTGTTGATTAATTGTTTACTCAACTACACGTTGACATCCCTAACAATTACAACTATTACAATCTTAAAAATGTGTTGCAGAGTAGTAAACTTATAAAAAACAAATAAAAATAAAAGCAAATAAAACATTTACAAATATAGAAAAGAAAAACAAAAATCAATGGAATTTACGCCTGGCTTGACATGAATAACTGAACATGGGTGAGGCCCCCTTTCTTAGGGGACAGGATTAGGGAGGTATATGAATCAGCAGTCTGAAAACAGAATACCTGTACTAGGTAAGACAAGGAGGAATATCCAGGGAACCATTTACAGTGGACAAAATAAGTTGAGAATCTAAAAACGAGCTTAAGAGTAAGTTATACATGGTCAGGGTATGGAATGAGTGTGTTGTACAAGGATCAATTCCTACAAAGTAACTAGCCAATTTCAAAACATGTCATGTAATCTATATTAAATACAATGCAATGTGTAAATGTGTCTAAAGCAAGAAGTTTGTTGTGTAACTTTGGATGTGTGGTATGGCTTTAACCCACACCCTCTGCTTGAGATTGATGAACCCACCACCTCTGCTTGAGACTGATCAACTCAAGTGTAGTTTAACCATATGACAATAAAGGAAAGTCAGTGACGAGACTAGAGGCAAACTGAGTTCTTGAGGACCAAATTGAAAAGGTCTTGGGGGAACCCCAGAAGCGGGATACGGATAGGAAGTTCTTTCATGAACTTTATATTGCTCCTGACCAAGGAGTCAAATCTGCCATGAAGACAATGACAGTGAACAACACTTGACAAAGAGAAGACAGATATTTTCTCTGATATCTCTGTCTCTTTTTGGGCGATGCAGATGATCTTGATCTGACAAGAAAAATTGTTTTCGATGAGGCTGAAGGCTAGCTGGCCTCTAAGTGCTGATAGATACATTCCTAAAGATCTCAAAATCACTTGAAAATCCTTTAGAGTCTGCAAAGTCTCACAAGTCTTAGCACTAAACAATAATCACGCTTCAAAAGACAGATCTCCTGTTATCATCTGTACGACTTTAGGTATGCACATGACTGTAACTAAGGATGAGATTCTGGAACAGAAAACTTCAGCAAGACATGAATTCTTCAGCAAATTCTGCTGTATTGGAATCAACAAATATATGGAGCCCTCACTTTTATTTCTGTAGATACCCAAATTCTACAATTCCCTAGACCCTCTCTTGCCCTGTCAAGTTTCTAACAGTTCTGCCATTGTCTGCATCTTTATTACCATCTTTACCGTTCCCATCCATGTTCAGATAAATCCCATCTCTGCTCCCATTTAAGTGCTTTGTGCTTTCTTCATGCTGCCCCTTATGCCTGTAACTCCCTCCCTGTAGTATTTTTTGACTCTACTCCAATTTTGATCCTTCTGCCCTTATGAAAGCAACTGCTCCCTTGTCGGCCTTTTATGGGAACCATTGTCTGCTGCTCTATAACACAACCACTCTCTGTTCTAGCTCTCAGTAAAGCACCAGGTAATACATCAGAAGGTGCGAGTGGCATCACTTGATGGTTACCTGCTTTGTTCATTCCCTCTTGGGGCACCTGGCATTGGCCAGTCAGAAGACAGGATACTGGGTTAGATGGGACTTTGGTCTGACCAAGGTCTTATATTCTTATGATGAGAAAAAACACATTTCTACTATGTGTGTATAAGTATGTATTGAAATCAATGAATGAATACTGGTGCAGATTTTGCAACATATGTTTTGAGCCCATGCCCACTCACCTGTTTCTTAAAAGTTGTTTCAAAAGGTATTTTGCAAACTGACTTTGATTTTATGGTTTTCTCTTAATGTCAATTAAATAAAGGATTTACGAATGGCCCCAACAGACAACTTAACCAGATGAACTCAGCATGTAAACACATCAGGTGGCTTTCTCCTCCTCCAAATCTACAAGCATGCTGCATACACAATCAGAGAAATCAGATGGAAAGGAACAGTCTGTGGCCCACTGCTATATAGATTATAACTACAGTTGGAGCATGGTGCCGCCTCATTCATTACCTCTAACTCAGCATTGTGCGCATGCATCTTCTGCACCATTTCTTCTGCTTCACGCATGCGCCGGCTCAGCTGGGGAGAGTGTTCTGATGGGGTCAGCTCATTGTCATATGACTCCAGAATTGCTCTCATTCCATCACGCTCCTGTTGAAAAGAAAGAAAAAAACCCAGGCTGTTTAGACTCTTTGCTGAAGACATGCAGCTTGCATCTTCAAACTGACGCATTCAATTAAATTTAACATTTTTTTACTATTCTTCTCTTACATAGTAGAGCACATTATTCCAGTCCAAAAGTTATTTCCAGTTGTCCCATTACTCTTTTGTATACACATCACACATCAACTGAGAAAAATAAAAACTTATTGCTCTAAGAGTTGAAAACGCACATAAACACAAACATCCCTTTTAGATGGCAACATGCACCATTTTACTGAGGTTCTCAATTTTATTTTCACTATTACAGTTCCCAGCTAAGAGACTTTTTCTTTCCATTTGTATGTTAAACAGATGATTAACCTGAGAAATTATATGTACAACTTATAAATTCTTTGGTTAGTACCATGAAATTATGAAAATTGTTATATCACTGAATGTCTCTATGCAGATATAGAATCCAACATGACTGTCAGGCCTTGTAGCAAGTATCCATGGGTATGTCTATACTACCACCCTAGTTCGAACTAGGGTGGTTAATGTAGGCAACCGAAGTTGCAAATGAAGCCCGGGATTTGAATTTCCCGGGCTTCATTTGCATCTTGCTGGGCGCCGCCATTTTTAAATGTCCGCTAGTTCGGACTCCGTGCCCGCGGCTACACGCGGCACGGACTAGGTAGTTCGGATTAGGCTTCCTATTCCGAACTACCGGTACACCTCGTTCCACGAGGAGTAACGGTAGTTCGGAATAGGAAGC